AGATGAGGAAGCTGAGGCACAGGGAGGACCCCTGACTTCTCTCTAGTCCCCCCACCAGCACGCTCGTCCAGGATGTAGGCGTGGTGCAGGGTCCCCTTTCAAAGCAATGGAGATGGGCATGGAAAGCCAGTCCCCAGCTGAGTGTTTCCCTGTGAGAGCTGTTTGCTCTGGTCAAAGCACCTTGTGACTTACTGTCTCCTACCAACCCTTTAGAGCTCACCTATTTGCAGGTCCAGTGTCCCCACTACTCCCCTCTTCACTTATCCCCCCATTAGGTCAACTTCCTTCACAAGTCTCTGGATTTAGCAAGGGCCTAGCAGGGCTGTATTGTGCCCCTACCCCAAGTAGCTAAGCCACCTCTGTGTCTCTGTCCCAGGGACAGAAGGCCTTCATTTGTGCCTTGGTGGTGGGGTTGGTGGTGAGGGCAGCAGGGACCAGGGAAGATGCAATGTGTCACCCCAACATAGTCAGGCTTATACATAGTGGGCAGGCAAGTCCGTAGTGTGGAGAGGAGCCCCCAGGAGCCAGTTGGGTTGTGGTGGCTGGGAAAATCAAAAGGTCTTGGGCTTGAAGACTTGAAAGAACAGAGCCTCCACTGACACAGAGAGATTTGGGAAGAATGACCCCAGGCCCTCACAGCTAGACCTCTTTTGACTGTTATGTTTCAGAGCAGGCAGGGGCAGGGCCCTAGGAGATCGCTTAGTTGTCCATCCACCCTATCAAAATACAGGTAGGAAATGGAGATGCACCAAGGTCACACAGCATTCAGGCTGATTTCCTCTCTGGGCTGTAAGCTCATTTCACGCCAGGCAACCAGTCTTCTACAGATGCAAAGGCAGTGCCTAGCTGGTGCTTCTTCAGAGCCTCTGGGTACAACCCTCCCCTCTCTGGGGAAATTAGCCTAGGATGACTCACTGGCTCTGGGTTCCCCTGGGGTTTGTCCAAAGGCTGGCCATGTGGGAGTAAGTTCATTGCCCAAATTTCCCCTTTACAGTAAACAATGGCTACTTCCTCCTGGGTTGGCCACTTCCTTCTGGTCACTGGGTTCCTGAGAGTCTTGAGGGGACAGGGGTTCACATGACACACAGGGCAGACCCTCTGACACTCAGGATACCTGCCCTGAACAAAGGAGAAGTGCACAGGTTCTGTCAAGCTGACCCTGGCCACTGGATGTTGAGTTTTAATCCGGGAGATCTCAGGAACTGCAAAGGTGACAGGCTATTTGCCTGGTCTGGATGTTTGTTCCTTCCAAAACTCATGTTGAAACTTAATCCCCAAAGTCATATGTCAATAGTGTGTGGAGGTGGGGCCTCTGGGAGGTAGGTTAAATGAAACCCTAAGAGTGGGTCCCTAATCCAATGGGGCTGCAGCTCTATAAAAGAGGAGGAGAGACCTGAGCTAGTACTATTTCCCTTGTGGTGCCCTGAGCTACCTTGACACTCTGCAAAGTGTTCCCAACAGGAAGAGGGACTTCATCAGATGTGGATGCCTGATCTTGAACTTCCCAGCCTTCAGAACTGTGAGCCAAATAAACCTTTATTCTTTATAAATTACTCAGCTGGTGGTGTTCTGTGATAGCCACAGAAACAGGACTAAGACATCACCTAAGAAAGGTTCCAAGGAATGAAGAGTCACCAGAGATGGCTCAAAAATTTCCATGAAGGTCAGGGGTATAATCTGGTTTGAAACTGGGAAAACTAAAGCTACATTTGTTTAGCACTTTATAGTAACTATAAAAAGTGTCCAAATTGAAGATGGGAGGACCTAAGAGAGCTCAGCTCCTGGCCCTAGGAATAAGAGGGTGAAATTGCAAAGGGTTCATTCATGAAATCACCAGCATCCCAGAGTAGCCCTAAAGAGTTGAYGGGGTAAAGGGGTTGGGGAGGTCTGGAGGAGCAAGAGGGTGTTAGGGTTGACTTTGAAGACATAGGCCACTTCCCATAGCTCAGTGGGCTCAGGACTCTCCTGGGGACCTTCTGAGATATTTATTGATTGCTGCTGGATTTGGGGTCTCTGTACTTTACACTCCCCACCCCCCCAGTGCTAGGGCTTTAATCCCATGGCCTGCCCTACCAGTAAGCTACATTGCCAGCCCTACTTTGTACTCTTACAGAGGTCTCAGGCAGGCCTGTGACTATAGTCTCCTCAGAGGGGCACATTCTGGAGGGCAAAGGCCAGGCAGGGGCCAGATCAGTTTATCCCCAGGCAGATACTATAGTCTCAGCATCTGGGCCTACCAGCTTTTGAGGGGCCTGTGAAATATCTGTGGTGTATGTATTGACTTCAAAACCAGGGGGAAAATCAAAATCAAAATTAATTCACATTTAATTAAATGTCTATAAAGTAGAAAATTATGTCCACTTCCTAGGAATCATAAAATGCTGTTACCCTGGAAAAGGTTTGTAGGTTGGGTTTTTCTCACTTGGCCTGAATTTCCATATAGACAGGATAATTACCAAGAAATCACAGATAATCATAAATTTAATAACTCATAGTCATATAATATCAAGAGCATAATATGGATATGACTTTGAACATTTTTATAGCAAAAATTACCTATATTAATTTATTGTGGAATATGGGATCATTTTAATATGTTTACTATGATGTGAGATGTGTCCTCCAAAGGGAAGAAGGCAGGGACTTGACAATACTAAGAAACAGCTGCAGCTTCTTGCCATTAGTGACCCAGGAGGGAGAGAAGACTCAGGTGCAGAGTCAGGCTGAGGCTCAGCTTGCCCACTGAGAAGCATAGACACCATCTTCAGGAGAAACCACAGGGTCCTTTGTCTGATACCATCTGCCAAGCCCCACCAACCCAGTTTTTCTCCTTGGGGAGGGGAGTTCATCCCCTCTGCCCATGAAGGATGACTTCCTCATGCCTTGCAGACCTCTGCCTCCACACGATACTCCAAGAGACTTGGTTCTTTCTTCTGGGACCACACAGGTCATGCCTACCCCTACTTTCTCTCAACTCACTGATGATGGAAATGGATTATACTCTGCTGCTGCTCCATGGCCTCTTAGCACCTCAGCCACAGACCTGCTTCTCCCAGCTCTGCCCATTTTCATAGTTTTCAAGGTCAAGCAAGCCAATTGGTCACAGCCCCTCTTATCCACAGAGTGAGGCTCAAATTGAACCTCTCATCAAGAGAACAATCCATTTGACTCCTGAAGTACCACATTATCTGGGCTCCTGTGCATGGGGGCTGGTTTGAGCCCTCTCAGAATCTGCTGATTGGGAAAGTCATCAATGTTAATGGTATAATAATAGTAATAGTAATGATAATAACCTGTAGGTACTGAGTGCTCATTATGTGTGAGGCACTGAGCTAACTAAACACTTCCACTAGCATTTCTCATGAAACCTTACAATAACATAATGTGAGATAGCTACTTTCATTATCACCATTTTATAAATGAAAAGACTAAGGCTCAGAGAAGTTAAATAACTTTCCCAAGGTCACACCTCTGGTAAGTGGAACACGTAAGAGACAAATCCCATCAGTCTGACTTTGGAACCTAGCACTAAACACTATACTGCATTGTGCTCAAAGAGAGCCTCAGGAAGCTTAGGTGGTGAGCACCCTCTCTGGCCGGCCAGCCAGATCTCTGACAAGTGTCAGAAAGGGATGTTCACACGGCAGCAGATACAGGGCCTGCAAATGGCTGGCTTGGGGGAGGCTCCAGTGCCTGCTCTTCCTATCTATCTGTTCCAATTAGGCAGTTGTTTGATGTCCTTGTCCATCTCAGGAAGCTCAGATTTCCACCATCTTTTAGTGTGTCTGGGTAAAACATGCAAAACTGTGAAGGGGAGACATTTGATTTGACCTTCTCACAAATGTACTTCCTTCTCTCTTTGAATAAAGTGAACTTTTGTACTAACAGTTCCCTCTGTCTGGAATGTTTTCCCCTCTTCTCTGGTTGCCTTGTTCCCTCACATCAGCATCATTTATGTTGCCACTAAGTGTCCCATCCTCAGACCTGCCTCCCCAGCTTAACCTATGGAGGTAACTTGCCGCAACTCTCCTTCCCAAATTCATCCATACCTTTGCTTTGCTTTATTACAAAACAATACTTTTTGCCTCTTGAGGTTGTTTTGAGAGTTCAAATGAATTAATGCAGAAAGTACTGGTAAGGTTTCTTTGATTTTTGTTTGGTGGTGCTGGGAACAGAACCCAGGGCCTGCTGTAAGTTAAACAAGTGCTCTACCACTGAGCTACATCCCAGTCCAGTGGTGTTTTAAGTAGCAATCATAATTTAAATGTCATCAAACCATTTGTTCAACATAACATTTATTATGCGTATCTGCTTTTTTTTTAAAAATGTGTATATTATCTTCCTCCTGTACCAGACTATAATCCCCATGATGGCTGGGAAATGATTGGCTTGTCATGGCTATACCGCCAGTGCTTGAAACCTTACCTGGCACATAGAAGGCACTCAATAAATATTTGTTAAATTCAATGAACGAACTGAGATACAGAGAGGAAGGATATGCTTTGGCTTTCATTCAAGAACTCTACAAATATTTATGGAGCACCCACTCAGTAGCAGGCAACAAGCTTTTTTATTTTTCACAACATTAAGCCTGTGACTCCTGCAGGGCAGAGTTTAAAAATTCCATTTAAAAACCAACTTTTATATGGAGGTATAATTTACATAGAGTGCAATACTGTTTTGAGGTGGTTCTTGAGAAATGCATCCTCCAGTGGAACACATGCTCCCATAAAGAAACAAACGTTGCTTCACCCAGGCAGGGCGAAGACTTGGACTCCCACGTTGCGTGAAAGCCGCCCCAACTCGGGGTCGGGCAGGGACCTGGCCTCCGCCGCCCTGCGGGGGCAGCGGCGGGCGGAGGCGGGACTACAAGTCCCAGACTTCTCTGCGCGCCCGGGTCGTGCGGAGGGAGCGGCGGCGGCGGCGGGGAGGGGGCGCAGTGGCGGTGGCGGCGCGTTGGCGCGGGGGCTCGGGCGCCGACGGTGGGCGCGCTGCGGGTGATGCCGGGGGCCGGGACCCGGGCAGAGGAAGGTGGCGGCGGCGAGGGCGCGGCGCCCGGGGCCACCGCGGAGGCTGTGGTGGGGGCCGGGCGGGAGCCGGCGCGGCTGTGCGGCTACCTGCAGAAGCTGTCGGGCAAGGGCCCGCTGCGCGGCTACCGCAGCCGCTGGTTCGTGTTCGACGCGCGTCGCTGCTACCTCTATTACTTTAAGAGCCCGCAGGACGCGCTGCCTCTGGGCCACCTGGACATCGCCGACGCCTGCTTCAGCTACCAGGGCCCCGACGAGGCGGCTGAGCCAGGCGCTGAGCCGCCCGCGCACTTCCAGGTGCACAGTGCGGGAGCCGTCACTGTGCTCAAGGTGGGACTGCGCGCGCCCGGCGGCCGCCTCACTTCTCAGTCGGCTCCCTCAGTTCAGTCTGATGACTTTCCCTGCCACCTTTCTTCCCCAAAGGCCTCTTCCCATCCTTCTCTAGTCGCCTTCCTTTCCCCACTTCTCCTCGATTCCACCCTCCTTCCTAATCTTGCCCTTAACCTGAGTTTAGGCTAGTGGAGCTGGGGCTACTCAGTCCCTTCTTCCTTCCTCAGAACTTTGATCCATTGTGTCTTCCTGTATCTTTCATCGGTCCTCCTCCTTGTCCCTCTACTCCGACCATCCCTCCCAGAATGGTAGGCTTTCATCTCCAGGGACTTCTTTATAACTTATCCTTTAACCGCTGTGTGCTTAGCTGCTTCTCTGGAAGTGCGGATAGTAGTAGTATTTACYTTATTTTGTGTGTGTGTGTGCGCGCGCGCGCGCGTGTGTGTGKGGGGGGATTAAATGACTTACACTCAATGTTAGTGCATTTAGTGCTGCGGTGGACAGAGCCAGAGATGGCCCCACCACAGTCCCCTTCAGAGTGGGCGGGGATGCTCCAGCCAAGTTCACTTAGCTAGTAAGTAGCACAGCCTGTTTTCTTGCTTGGCTTGGGAGAGGTGGGAGGGGGTTGCTTCATGCCTTGCTCTTTGGAGGCTTCCTTAATCTTCACTAGAGACTGAGTGTAGAGGCGTGGCAGTAGTCAGGAATCTTGGTGCTGGGTGGCCTTCCCTGTCCTTGGGAATCCTTAGAAGGCCAGACTCTATCATCTCCTAGGCCCTGGCCTAGACCTGGGCTGCCTGTCTTAGGGCCTTGCTCCCTGCCTGCTTCCTTTGAGTCTCCACCCTCACTCCTCTTTCTGGCTTCTCTTCCGTATTGCAAGCTGGGCTTTCTCCAGAGCAGCAGGGCTGGGCTCTTTCAAAAGCAGCTCACTCAAAGCCAGCCAAATGGAGAGCAGAGTGGGCAAGCACCCTGGCCTGTGAGCACAGGACCGTTCCCTGAGAACACTAGAACCAGCAGCAGCTGGAGTTGCTCCCTGAAGTCGTTCTTAGAGCTTTGACAACTCAGCTTTTGCCAATTCAAGCATCATCTGATTCCCATAGTCTTTTGGGTTAGTCTCTCCCATCTCTGAGTGGTAGCAGACAGCCTTTTTCTCCAAAGGAAGTCAACCAGAATTGCAGTTCAACTTGGGGTTAACTTAAGAGAGTATATAAACTTGGGAATGGCCCAGCAAGTTCATAGGAACTTTTGCCAAAGGTAGAGGCTTGTCCTCAGTGTACACGTGGACTGTCCCTGTGTCAGATAAATTTCTGGTGGAATTGTTAAAAAATAAAACTGAGTGGCCTGTTTCAGATTTTCTCAGATACGTTTGAGTCTTCTATCAGTTTTTTTTTTCATTAAAATCTAAATAATGGTGTCTGCCTAAGTGGGACTACAGAATCAGGTCTCAGGCTTGGATGAACTTGAACTTGCAGCTTGAGTCCACTGCTCACATGTGTTGGACAAGTTTTGCCACCTCTCTGTCTTAGTGTCTGCTTTGGCCAAGTGGGAATCTGACCTTCCTCATTGGGTGGTTGTGAGGATTTTGGAAAATGTTATGGAAAACAACTGGTACACAGTAATTACCATCTGGCAGCCAGATGAAACATCAGATGGTGTTTTTGGCCAAATGTGTAGTATATTCATAAAGTTCATGTACTGGAATGTTATGCAGTAACGAACATAAAGGAAGTAGAGGCTGCATGTGTCCTTTTGAATAACTCATAAAACATAAATTGAGGAACATATGTTACAGATTGATACTATTTATGTGAAGATTAAGAAACAGTACTACCTATCATAAGGATATAGGCTGTGTAGGGAGAGGGAGAGCCACCTGGGGGTGATGAATGTGCCCTGGATTCAGTGTGGTGGTTGCTTCTGATGGGAAGACTGGAGATGTGGTTGGGGATGGATGTCCTGAGGCTTCCATTGTTGCTTTACAGTGTTTTATTTCTCAGACTGGTTGGTAAGTACACCAGTGTTTGCTATGTTGTTCTGTTCATTTTTTTCTATGTTCAGACTATTTGTTTAAAAAAGGAAAATACATTTTAATGTGGACTACTGACCCACCTGAAATTCATTCATGAAATTTACTGACTTCATGAATATTCATGCATGAATATTTTATATGTAAAATTAGTCACAGAATTGGACAGAATACCTGAGGCCAAGTGCTTATTTGATAAAAAATGATGGAATTGGAAATAGGCAAGGCTTTCCAAAAGAAAGCAACAGTTGAGATGTAGGGTTTTAGAGTTAGAGTGTGTTTTGAGAAAGGTGAACTTCAGTGTATAGTAATTCTTTTTGAGCTGTAGGAGTAAAAATTTTATGGTGGTAAAAGTGAAAAATAGCAATTTATTATCCTTTTCACCTGAACTGATATAAGAACTGATTTCCTCAAGCATTAGTGCTTCATGTTAGGGCTGCCCAGCTACCAGGAAGACTGTGATTTCTAAAGAGCATCGTAGGTTAGTGAGCAGTTAGCCTTAAATGAACTTCAGCTAGCTGCATATAATTGCACAGATATAATTTCTTCTGATGGATGAAATAGAGAAGAAAACCCAGCAGTTTGCTCATTGTAAGTTCTTTCTTCTTCTTCTTCTTTTCCAGTACTGGGATCGAACCCAGGACCTCATGCTTGCTAGACAAATGCTCTACCACTGTGCTATAATCCAAGCCCATATGTTTCTTATTTTAAAGTGTTTTCAGTCTTTTCTGGAGAAGCTGTAGCTTTGTTGGGCTTTTCTGAGATGTTTTATTGCTTGAGGCTTAATGAAAGCTGATATTGGAATTTCTTGATAAATGTCACTATTCCTAAACTCAGGGATCTGGTCCAGTGCCGTTTTACTGATGAGGGAAAGGAGGCTCGAAAGGGAATGTGATTTGCTTGAGATTATGAAGCAAGATTAAGTAGGGGCTCTGAGAAAAGGGAGAGTACAAATGTCCAGTATCTAATTGTATTATCTGACAAACCTCCTGCTTTTGGCTTTGATATCATTTTTGGTATTGGGTTAGATATCTGCTTTTGGATTTGGATTAGATAAGGTGTGTGGTTTTCCCTTTCCTAAATTTGATGTCTTTCCTTTTTATGCAGTAAGCAAGTACTAAGAACATTTTACTGCCCACCAAGAATGTCTTTACCAGGATGTATTGTTCCTTTTAGTGAACCCTTGGTTGCTGTTAAGGGTCTGCCAGAAGCTGACATTTCCTGATTGCAGGGTGCGTGTGTGTGGGGGGGGTGTTGGGTGAATGTGTAGATGTGCTGGAGGCTTCTTAACAAGCTTTACTAGGATTGGTGGCACAGGGATAGGTGTGGAGTAAGCAGGCACTTAGGGGCAGGAGAGCATGTGAGAATGAAGGTAAAATTTGAACAACCCTCTTCTTCTAATCTTTGCTGTCTCTAGAGCAAGGAAAATCTTCAGACTAGCATCTGTCCCCTTTCTCGTAACATTTGTGCTCATGTGGGCATGTGTTGGTTTTCATGTCACGTAACTGAACAGCTATGCATCCCTATTCTTAACCCACTTTTGTGGGAAGGATGCACATTCTCTGGTGTTGAAACTTCTTTCAGTTTAATGACAAACATTTGTTAGCTTGAGTAATCATAATGTGTTCAGTACAAAATAGATGTGGTGAACCAGCCTTCCTTGCTAAACAGTTCTGGTAAGCTATTCTGTGCTAGGGCAGTTGCTCGGGGGTCTTGAAGCATTATTTAAATTCTTAAATTGCGGGGACTAAACTTTTCATGGCTTTTTGTCATGGCTTCCCAATTAGTAAGTTCCTTAAAAGCAAACACAGTATCATGTTCCTGATATCACATGGTTTTCCATCTCTCTTTGCTTCTCACACAGTCATTATTACAGGGTGGTCTCTACCCTGTTTCCTGCCCACCAGACAGTAAGCTCCCTGAGAACTGCTGTTTGTACTCTCAGTTACCAAAACAATACTGGCAAAAAAGTAGCTGTTCTTGTGAACTGTATGTGTTTTCCTCAAAATTCTTATGTTGAAGCCCCAACTCAATATGATAGTATTGGAGGTGGGTATTGGTAGGGAGATGGTATTCAGAGGTAATTAGGTAATGAAGGTGGAGCCTTCATGAATGGGATTAGTGCCCTTGAAAAGACAACCCAGAGAAATGATCTCTTTCTCCACCTCTGAGGACACAGCAATAAAATAAGACCTTCTACTACCAGGAAGAGGGCCCTCACCAGGCACTGTAGGAGAATTTCTTGCCTACTAGGGTTCATGCGTTTTTATGTTATGCTCTGACAAGCAGGTTTAAAAGAAGATAAATGCAAAGTTGAATTTATGTCCAATAGTTGCTTCTTAAACACCTTTGTTTCTTAGTCTCACAGATGCTGAGGTCTGTGAGGCTGGCTCTGGAGGGCTTGTGTGGCTGGGTCCTGTCCCCCTCTGCTGGACCTTCATGAATAGAATTAGTGCCCCCTCTYCCTTTCCTGAGTATTCCTGATGGCTGCCTTCACCGACTTTTCTCATGGCCCACTTGCTTTGCTAATGTGCACGTTGCCAATTTCCTTCCTTTTAGAGATAAATATTTCTTGAGAAATGGAGGGAGTGGTCAAATGCATTCAGGGTAGAAGAGTACTAACTCTTACATCATTGAGGTTTCTGAGGAGATGGACAAGTCTCCTTGGTCACATGCCTTTATGCATTAGCTACTGGGTTGTAACCTTCCCGTCTCCAGTTGAACAGAATATAAAAAATAACCTCCACCATGAAAAGAAGAGATGAACCCTTCTGTTGTATGACTCTCAGTAGGAAGGAAAGGAGGGTTTTTTTTTTGTTTTGTTTTGTTTTTTTGTATCAGGGATTGAACTTAGGGACACTTGACCACTGAGCCTTATCCCCAGCCCTATTTTGTATTTTATCTAGAGACAGGGTCTTGCTGAGTTGCTTAGTGCCTCAATTTTTGCTGAAACTGGCTTTGAACTTGTGGATCCTCT